CTTCATAAGCATTGAGTTTAGCTCAATCGGAACACGGCTTCATTGGGTTTATTGTTCATGTATTTCAAGATGTATTGAACGTAAATACACAATACGACTACACAGCTGTGATCGGATTAAAATAGTCAAGTTCAAATCCGTTACGAAGTTAAAGATCAATGCAAATATCCAAAGTAGTGTGCTGAAATCTGACTAATGCCATCTTAGCCTTTTGGTTAAAACCTTAGTATTTCGAATATTTAAACATGTATGAACTGTTAACCAACGCAATGTATCCAATCGATGATCTTTGTTTGAGTATATGAATGACGAATACTGATCTGGTAATAGAAAACTACAATGCTACTTTTAAAAGCAAAATTCAATACATACTGATGAAGGATAAGCTTTTTTATTTTTATCGGCATGGTCACTTTTCATTTTGATTTACCTCACGACTGACATTTGCAAATTTCAATTTCAGTTTTTTTCAAAGAAAGAAAACAACAGGTTTTCAGTTAGTATTTATTAGAAAAATAACAAATAAATCGTTGTTCTGGTCAAAATACATTCAAATTTCAATAACTATATTACAGGGAGAATATACGTAATATCAAGCAGCAATGTAACATTGGATACACATTTGGTTGTTCTTAGTACGACTTACATAAAAATTAAAGTTTTAGAACGGAACGAACATTTATGTAAATTATCTTATTGCAAATAGATACCTTAATTTGTTGTAATTCTGCAGACAAAAAGGGCCCTTACATCACCGCCACCTTTGGTTCATAAATATTTAAAAAAGAAGAAATGGTAATGTTGCCAATTATACAACCACTCACAAGAGTCCAAATGACGTGGATTTAAGCAACTAAAGGTCAACATCCGGTCTTCAGCAATTAAAAAGCCCATACCGTACAGTCAGCTATAAAAGGCTCCAACATGATGATATGTGAAACAATTCAAACGGGATAATCAACAAAATATAAATTTATTACAAAACAATTAACCACAAACATGACAAACAAATATAACAAACATAAACCAACAACAACCAATTAAAAACAGTTACTTGACTCGGAATAAGCCCATAAAAGTATTTAGTGGTGTTAAACAGGTTTAATTTGTTAATGCTCAACCCTTCCCATACCTGATACTGTTGTGTGACAACACAAAAAAGAACTAACAGGGAAGGTTGAAAAAACTTAACTCAATAAATTAGTATTTATAAGAAGCTCACAAAGGATTGATATAAGAGTACTCAGAGAAAATGAAAAAGCTTATAACAGCTGATAAATAAATCATGTTTGCTCACACTAAACTATCAATCAGTACACATACACCAGATTAAGTGTAAAGACGTCAATTGTCAGTTTTGTACAGTGCCAAAATATAAGTAAATAGTACCACCAGGAGGGAGGAATTCATATATGTATGGCAAAGTTTATTTTGTTATGCTTTAATTTATAAAAAAAAAAATTTTTTTTTATTATAAAACAATATTCCACTACGGCTTTAAGAATGAGCTTATCAAAGTATCAATGTGATAACATGGATCGAATCTGAATTTGCGAGTTCTATGAAAAACACCACCATGACGTTATGATGAAATATCATATTTTGATAAGAATTCTACGGATACAGTCAAACTTCGAAACCAAATGTCTGAATCTATGTTGGAAGTTAGTTTAAGGTTTTTGCACTTTAAGATTTTCATCGATCCTTAGTTTCCTAATCCATAATTACAATGTGATTGGCTATTTATGCGTCCGTTTGTATATTTCAAAATATGAAGCCGTGCCAAATCGGAAAGAGGACGTTGAATCCCTGCAACTTTCTCAGCACTCAAACGAAATCTTTAAAAAACTCTATAGTTGGTCCGTTGGTGGCATGATGCAAGGAAAATGTCTTATCATTTCAAATATGCCCTTCCAGTTGGAGTCTAAATTTCTCGACATTCATTGATGTCGACCGATCTTCTAGGATCAAATCTTTGCATTTATTGTAAATTTGTTCTAATCCTGAACCTGAATATATATTGATCATTTTGCAAAAAAAATTATCAATCAATCCGTTTTGCTTATTTTAATTTATTTATGAATATCTATAAAAGTAATAGAAGAGTAGATTTAAAAGTTTGATGAAAACAGTCTTGATCGACCAAGTGTTGACTCAAAATGGAGCAAGTCTTTCAATTATTTGAAAAGATACTAAAAACAAATGCGATAACTGAACTTTCGATTTTTAAACAATTTCGAACTATATTTCATGTTTGAGTTAAAAATTAACAGTATTGTAAAGTACTGACATGATACAGATGTGTGCATTACCTATTAAAAGCTATGTTTTTCACCACAAATAGCAATGGCAATTTTTTTTTAAATACAACATTTAAACTTGTAAGATATAGAAATTAATAATACATTTGAAATAATGGTCACGTTAATCACGTGGTGTATGCCATCCCTCACAATTGGAATGATCTATTGATATAGATTGTTTCTGCATTTTTCACTTATACATGTTCCTTACAAATAACACCAATAGCATTTTCTAATCACTGCAAATATTAATAACATTTAATAAAATAGATATATGTGCGAACTCTTGTTTGATTTAACATGACAAGTAATTACTTTTGACTTCAGTCATTCGCAACTTAATACTCTTAAATGTCAAATACTTCTTTGTTTTCTGTTCACTTCAATTCTGCATCTTTCGCTTAAAAACCACCTTTGAATAGATGAGGTGTGTTCATTCTGGAAAAACAAACAAACATTCATGAATACAAAAAAAGCAAATGACGATAAACATATATGAAATAGGGAGCAGTATTTTTTTATGTCTATATTTAAGTTAAATACCACTTCATTGTAGACATCATGTTATAATGGTCAGATGGAACATCGAACAAACAAATCATTCAAGATGCATTGATGGTGAAAGAAAATGTGTTACATAAACAATACAACTCTAAACAATAAATTGTAAGGCAGTAAGGATGAATGGTGAGTGTTGCGATTATATTTCGAACTTCGACATTGTTGTTTGATTACGAATAGAAATTTTTCAGCAACTATAAACAAATCCATATCAATCAAACTAACATTTTTAAAGTAAATCATGTAATTCATTGCCTTTACTAATTATTATGTTAAATGGTGCTGAGTTTTTAAGCACGGATATAATGTTTCTGTTGGAGTAGCCATGATGATTTGTAATGGAACTCAATGAGTAGAATATGATATAAATGTTTTATTTATTTGGAATGCTCGACGATATGTGAATGTATATGTTTATCGGTGTAATATAAAGTTTTACTAGTTTGGAACATAGAAGGCTTGTAAAATTAACAAACGTTTTGTATTATACATTCTTTTTCAATATTTGTCATTCGCTTAAATTTAACAGCACTATATAAACGATATTCTGATCTACAAAATTCCTAATCCTAACACGTTGCGCACTCTCTTAAATATTAGATTACTGACCAGCCTTATTCCATACTCTACTATAGCTACTTACCCACATTTACACGTCCTATTAAAAAAGGAATATTTTATCATATTTAGATACAACACCAACAATACAACATGTTTTCTACATTATATCAAAGTGCATATGTTTACAATACATTTACCGATTGCATCGTTTTACCTATTGAAATATTTTGACTGAGATTTTTTTTTTAATTGACATGAGGGTTGATGTTGGTGTTTTCGCTGTCGAGACATCCAGTCTCGCTCTAATTGGAGGATCATGCGTGTCCTTTGTGGTTTTCTACTTTATTTTGTTTATTCCTAATTCATTTTCAATATTTTTTCATCAATAAACAACTGTTGCTTATAATTAAATAATTCTTGCATACGATTTCGTACTTCCGTAATTATCAATTTATTTGTGTTGAAATTTAGTTCCGATTTTGACATAGGATGGTATTTTATTTTTAAAGGGTTTATAAGTATTAAACGTTCATTTGAAATGAAATTTGAGACATCATATCAAACAAGTGCACATCGACGAAACATGAGTTTTTTAAAAGATGTAGAATACATATGATGGTTTTTGGGTAACATTTATCATGTTTATGTATCTCTCTTATTTTGTATAAAAATTTTCTGATTTTCATATAGTATCTCTCTGTTACCAGATTTGATTTACAAGTCTCTAATTCAACACGCAATAAAAATGCCGTCTGTTTATTATGTATATTGAGAAATTATACTCACCCAAAATAAATCCTGAAAAGAACAAATATGATTTAACATGTTCCTCCATATAATTCTTAAACATTCTACGAAGTATTAACTACAATTACTTGATTACGTGAAGATAAGTCAGGCTAATGAATACAATTATACGAAGTCAATTAAATGTTTGCCCTTTGAAATAGATTTTGTATTTATTTTCATATTTTAAATGGTTATTTTGATTTTTTCTTAAAATAATAAACTCATCATATATACATGGACTGAATTTTAGTAAGCCAGTCTGTTTGATAAGATTGAATTAGTTATGTCTAATTATCTTCAATTTTTAAAAATGGATCCTCTTGAATTCCATATGATGTCTATGTCGTGAAATGTCATTTGTTGTATTGGAAACTTCAAATAGAACTTATGTAAGTAGTAAAAGGGATACATGATTAGATCTCAAATCACCCACAGGAAGCAAACATGAAGTGAAATTCAAGTTTTTTGTTACGTTCAAATAGACAATATATAGTACGATTCTTTGAATGGTCAGATGTTGCATTATGGAGACATGTGGTAATGATATGGTTGCCTATTATTTGAAGAGTCCAGACTTACATTTGAATGGTTATTTGTTTGTATTCATGTGCATTGTATTCTGTTTTGTTTTGATTTTAATGTATTAATGACTTTGTGTACTGATTGTCTTTATTTTCTCGTTACTCTGTGACTATTGCTATTAGATCTACAAAATAAAGGTTAGCAAACGGAGTAATTTGTTATCAGTTTGTGGTATTATGAAATTGTAAAAAAACAAAACAAAACTTACGGCATTGGTGTAGAATTGCGAGGAACGCTGAAATGAGATTAATTATGTCACAAATAATCATATTTTGATTATAAAGTGTATTTGTATTGATATTTAGCACCTTTACAAAATAAAGATAGGGGTATTTTACCAGACGTATAATACATATTATAGCAACAATTCCAATATCCAAAGTAAAGAAAAATGGAAAATTCATAAAAACTGACATAATTAAACGTTATCAACCAACGGAATGAGTAGAAAACAACTCTCATATTCCAAACTTGGTACAGGCACTTTCTAAAGAATATGCTGGCTTAAACCTGGTTGTATAGCTACATAAACCTCACCTTTGTATGGCGTTGTTGATAGTGCTGTTAAATTGACGAAAGTACGTGAGCAACATGAACAGACATGTGGTTCATAAGTGTTTCTCGTTTCTCGTTTTTTATATAGATTAGACCGTTGGTTTTCCCGTTTGAATGGTTTTACACTAGTAATTTTTTGGGGCCCTTTATAGCTTACTGTTCGGTGTGAGCCAAGGCTCCGTGTTGAAGACCGTACTGTGACCTATAATGGTTTACTTTTATAAATTTTGACTTGGATGGAGAGTTGTCTCATTGGCACTCATATCACATCTTCTTATATCTATATAATAGGTTTAATTTTACAATAATTGGGATCCAGCACCCAAAACTGTGTAAGAATATATCACAGACTTGAAACCCAATTGACTGAAACATTCAAATAAACATACAAATATATCCAACAAAGACGGGAAGAAAAACGTTGAAGTTCATAGTAAATCTGACAATGACGTCCAAACAAAAGTTTTTGTAGTTGATAGCATATTGACAAAGACGCCGATAAATCAATTTTTGTTTTATTGATAATACATATATATTATACACTTTCTTGATAAAGTACCAATTATAAGTAAAATATTAATATGAGGATAAACAAAATGGAAACAACACTGTAAAAATCCCTTGCTTCCGAATCGAACCTCAGGGCTCATCTGCACCAGGAATAACTAATGTCAAAAACACAATAGCGGAATATACACATGGTTGCTATTTAATGATATGATCAAGTCATTAAATGTTTCCCACGAAGTGTACTTACATCAATGTTGCTAGAATGTGTTACGAAAAAGTGTTTTTTAACCGTTTAATCAACTTAATTTTCATCCATTTGGTGAAATTTTATGTGAACTTTCAAACATGCGTTTACATGTACCTTTGAGTAAACTTTTTTTATGAAAAGACCGAGTTTATCCACTCAAATTACCCCGTCATTGTTTTCTCATACTAATATGTCAATAACCGATTGGTTTTCGGATATATTAGATCATGAAATATGAGTTAAATGTTTTCATTACTAGTAATTTTCGCCTTATCTTTCATTTTTTATTTTAACATGTTCAACATTTTTGTGTCTACGTGATCCTACTTTCATCCAATAGAGCACGCACGTCATTGCAAACAGATGCGCGTTTTTCTTATTTTATTTTTTTTTTTTTTTTCGTTTGATATACAACAAGGAGATGTAGTATAATTGCCATTGAAACTACTATCCAGCAGAGACCAAATAAAGTAGATATGACCAGCTTTAGGTGACCGTATGACCTTCAACAATGAGCAATATTCATACCACATAGCAAGCTGTAAAAGTCCAAGGCGCAACAAAATGTAAATCTTCCTTCCATTTTGAATATAAAAATTATCACAAATGTACCGTTTCAATTTAATCACGTTAATAAAAAAAAAATATGTTTGACAGACGCGCGTTTCGTCTTCAAAAGACTCATTAGTGACACTCGAATCAAAACAATTTAAAAGGCCAATAAAGAACAAAGTTGAAGAGCATTGAGGACCCAAATTCCGAAAGATTTTGCCAAATACTGCTTTCACGGTAATCTATTTCTGGTAAAGAAAATCCTTAGTATTTCGAAAAGTGCTGACTACTGGACTGGTGATACTATCGTGGTGGAAACCTCCAACAGCAATGAAACGCATCATATATATATATACCAAGATTTACATAATGTACGCCAAACACGCGAAAGTTTCATTTACAAAATAAAACTCATCAGTGACGCTTGAATCAAAAAAGTTTAAAAAGGACAAATTAGGTTCGAAATTGAAGAGCATTTACCACCCAAAATTCAGAAAAGTTTTGCCAAATACAGCTTTAAAGGTAATCTATTCCTGGAATTGCAAGTGATACTTTACAGATATGGAAATGGTGCAGACAAAAAATAGTTTTCAGAAGGCGCCTGTAGTATGATTTATGAAGCTTCATCTTTTAAAAGCAGATAAGGTACCAATCAGAATGGAAACATACTCTGCATAAAAGAAATATCTTACCAACATTTAGTTTTCTATCAACAATGACAAAAAAAAATTAAAAACTAATTTCATTTGAATAAAACTTACCATGTAACTATAGTGTTGCTAAAATATAAAAATGTACAAAAAAAACATTTGTTTCCATGCGAATCGGCTTTTATGAAAATTTGTGTTTCTATCATAAATCATTAACTACTAAAACTTTAATTTGTGACTGTTGATTTTTGACATATAGAAAATTAATCTTGTCGAGTCGTTTACATTTTCATGATAGGTGGAGGCACACTTGATCGCATCGCATTCCAGAATGACCCAAAATGTGGAGAAACGTTATTTAGTGAAATTTTCTAATAATGAATTAATCAAAATTAAACATTTCTTACAGGAAAAACATGAAGCATAAATTTAATGCAAACAAATAAAAATGTTTTTGTGATATTTTTTCTTATGTTTGATATTTTAATCAAATAGTCCGTGTTGAGGAACTAACTGTAAACAAAATTACAAATTAACTAAACAGTCAAAAAACTTACACATACATGTTATATTCATACACTTTAAATTGATATGATTTATAATGTTATATCAAATTGTATTCAAATATGCAAATTGTTAGTTAGTAAATACAAGATACGATGTGAAATTTGATCAGTTTTGATTGTCGTATGGTGGCCTGATTTACTCATATCCGTGTTATTTTGCCCTTGTGCTTTGTTGTCTCATCTTTAATTAGTTAAGTCTGCCTATTTTTATAAAACAAAATAATATATGTAATATCTACTCAAACAAGTAGGGTTATAAAAAAAAATACTTACCTGCATGTAGTACATGCAAATAAATATGAGATCGGACTGAAAATACAAATGAAAAGAAATTATAATGTATTGTTGATTATAAGAACTTTTAGAGAATAGCTAAATAAAATCATAGCTCTGTATATTTAATAACATAGTTCTGTGAAAAAAATGTAGAGAAAGGGCAAAGGTATGAAAAGTACCAATCTCTTATGGTTGTGACATGTCAACCATTTCTCGCATGAAGTGATATTTCTCGTATCACACTGCTAAAAGTAAATAAGAACATAAGTATTATGTTTTTTTCTTTATGTTTTATAGGGGTATTGTATATTCGAAATTTCAAAGGATTTAACAATGCCTTCTGAAGTTTCTGTTTGGACGCCACATATTATTTTTTTTCCGCCTTTTCAAGAGCCATATCTTTGATAGAGAATATTTTTTTTAAATCGGTCTAATCAGACGTGGATCTGTGTTCTGTGTGCCCGAAAGAACCGCATCTCTAAGTTTTGAGAGATTTTTACATAAAAGTTAGTCCAAAACTATTACTGTTTAGGTGTCCAGTATAAAAACAGACGATTTCAATTGTCCTTTTTAATTTCAATATCAAAGTACAGATGGAACGGCTTTTGTTATTTTTGTAAATTTCATAATTTGTGAATGAAGTAGGGGTATATGTTAGATTGATAGATTGTCTGTCTATGTATTCTTTAATTCATACTTCTTTAATTATAGATTCAAATTAAAGATTTTTGAAATCTAAAACAATTTTGTTTGTGTCTTTAATTGTTGGATCGATAACATGTTTCTCGTGTAAAGAGGATATTGAATCCACAGTCTCGGGCTTGTTGCAGTGAAAAAAATGCAACAGAAATAAAGTGTCCAATTAACTTTAATCCGACTGTTGCGCAACACATTTGGTAGAATTGACATCAACTACATCTATCTTTAACAGTACTGCTACCAGCTAATCATCAGTCTGTCTCATTTGAATCAAATTTTCAAACAGTTACCTGTGGTGTACCTTAAGGTAGTATTTTGGGTCCATTCTTATTTTTGTATTATGTAAATGATATGTCTATTAGTTTTAGTTCCGATCGTAAATTATATTTATATGCTGATGATAGCAGAGTTTTATTTTCGCATAGGAACCCGGAGGTAATATCTGAAAAACTGGGAAAGGAACTCCAGTCTTGCAGTCAATGGTTAATAGATAACAAATTATCCCTTCATTTGGGCAAAACTGAATGTATTTTGTTTCGTTCAAAACGCAAACTTGCAAAGGTAGACAACTTTCAGGTCAGCTGCAATAACCATATTATTCCAGCTCAAAATTGTGTAAAATACTTAGGCCTATACATAGACAGACATTTGTCTGGGGAAATTATTGTCAGTATTATTTTACAAAAAGTGAATGCAAGACTCAAGTTCCTTTATAGACATGGTAGATGTCTATCAGAAAACTCTAGAAAAACCTTTTATACTGCTTTAGTGCAATATCATTTTGATTAGGCATGTTCAGCGTGGTATGATGGTGTGTGTAAAAAGTTGAAAAATAAGTTACAAATATTTCAAAATAAATCTGTTAGATTTATTAAAGATATGGGAAATAGAACTTCTGTAAATTTTAATGTATTAAATAGCATTGGTTTCTTGAATGTAGAAAATAGAGTCAAACAACTAAGACTCAACCATGTACATAAAATATTTTATAACAAAACCCTTACTACATGAAAGGCAATTTTACTAAGATCAAAGGTTGTCATAAGTATTCACCAAGACCTAGTGAATACAATTTGTTTAAACCACCTATAAAAGGGCAACAGACTTTAACATTTTATCATAATGCTATAAAGGATTGTAACTTGTTGCCAGATTAACTAAAGAGCAACAAAAACCTTGAATCTTATAAATCTGGTGTTAAAGATTATCTGTCAAAAAAAAGGAAAGCAACGATTTTAATAGCAATTTTTTTATTTTATTGATTGGCTTTTATATTCTAGACATTGTCATCGTAAATTTTTAATTTTAGCATAATTAGTGTGAAGCCTGCCAAAATCATGATTTCTTATAACTATATTTAATATTTTTAAGAACGTAACATAAAGGGACCCCATTGGAAATAAGCCGTATGGCTTTTACAGGCAATCCTGATTCGGTATCAGCAATTGTTTTAAGATTTTCTGATTTTAGTATGTTTACATGTCTGCTATTGTTTTATACTACTTTTGTAATGTTTTATGTTGATATTTGATCAAATAAATCTATCTATCTACCTATCTATCTATTTCTCTGTTTCCCAGAAGGCTCGACATATTGGGCATTTGGCGAACAACTCCCTAATTAAACATTGCTAACAATGCCAACCGTGCTCAGTGGGACTATATCCGTATTGTAATCATAAACAAGAGCAATGTAGAGGTTTTATTTTACATTATTGAAGGTAAAGGTATCTTATACCTTCTTTTGGTTGAATATCATAAATTCAATGGTTTGATGTAAGTAGGTATCTGAACTGACATGTATAGTCTTTGACTATAACAAGCGGCTAAATTCTAACTGAAATGTGTTAAGTGTTCCTTTCCTACCAATGTGTCAAATTTCAAATTCATATCATTGGCGGAGTCTTACTCAATGTATCGTCCTCAAACTAAAGATTTAGAGATCGTTACAATGACATATCTCAGGAAAGACAATGTGAAATATATGTGAAATGTGTATTTCATATTCGAACTGTTTTTGTATTCGGTGGTCGGTAACATAATCTAAAAGAAATTAGTAGAACCATATTCATGATAGTGTTAGGATGACTAAAAATAATATCATGCTTGTAAGACATGCTGTGTTAAGTGATACGTAAAAGCATATTTTTGTAGAATTTTATCTTTATTATCACCTTGAAAATTCGAAGAAGCTTGACAAAAAAAAGGACAATCCATGTCATGGATAATGATATGTACAGATGTTTTCTTAATGCTTTAAATGACAATACTTACTTCTGGTAACATTCAATTTGTTGCTGATACTTCGAAATCTGTTGCTTATAATCGTCAATCAGTCCCTGATTCCCAGAAATCTTACTATCCTGCATAGACATTCTATAAGATATTGATAACATGCTATCTCAAAGAGGAAAAGTTATACAAAAAAAAGTTATTTCGTTCTATAAGAGAATATTTCAGTTATATAGATAATACGATCTGTTACATTGAAAGATTAAGACATTTTAGCTTGTTTTTTTTTTAAATTCATTTCATCAAAAAAATAATCATTTAAACTATTTGTTAAGCAAACTGTGGTATTTCTTTATTATTGAAATGATATCGAAAGTTGGATATCAAATATAAAAAACAACATTATACTCTGTTACCAATCATCAAACTCATTGTACTGTTTTGGCCACGGCTTTCTCACTTCGTATTCGACTAACGAGTTTGAATAGCACTTTGTATCGTTTGGCTGCCATTTTAGATAAGAAGACATTTCATTAAAAAAATGAGCCAAACCAAACTAGCTCATGTTTGAATACACGGAAACATAGAACTTTTTGAATGACATTTTCAATATAGGATGGATTTTTGATGATTGTTTTTTTATATAGCGGTCACATATGTATAGACCTAGTTTAACTACGTACCTTTCGACTTTCGTTTTTTGTAAAAGACCCAAATCATTTAAACTATTTGTTAAGCAAACTGTGGTATTTCTTTATTATGAAATGATATCAAATGCTGGATATCAAATATGAAAAACAACATCATATTATGTTACCAATTATCAAACTCATTGTACTGTTTTTGCCATGGCATTATCAGTTCGCATTCGACTTAAGAGTTTGAATAGCCCTTTGGTATCTTTCGCCTTTCTTTTAAGATTATAAGAAATTATTCAGTAATTAACTTAATTAATACATCTATATTGCTGCTGCAATGCAATGTCATGTATTCACAGTAGGAGTGCAAATCACACAATTTATAATTTGATTAGCCTTTGAATTTGATCACTGATTAATTTCCTGATGACACATGAAACTACGGTTGATTCCCTAATAATGTCTGGTGTCACAGATTTGCTTCAAATACGTCACAAATACATAATTTATTAACATTATTTCTATATTGGTTTGGTTCGTGTTACTCCGTCTTTAGTTTTCTGTGTTGTGTTTTGTTTACTGTTGTGAGTCTTTTTATATTTTTTCTGTTTTTTGTCATAGCATTTTCTGTTTGTTTCCGTCCCTGTGGTATATTTCGCCTCTCTTCTATAAACAGTACAAGGTCACTTGAATAAAAAAAGTTCTACTTTAATTTCAACAATAAATGATTTCTCAAAAGATACCTTTTCTTTAAATTGATTCTCTAAACGTTTGCTTTGTAGAATGTTTTTATAGAATAACTGCAAAAGACTATGGTTTGCAAAAGGTTATATCTTCTATCCATAACATCAATCCTAATGCGTTTTTAACGAAAAGTTCACTGAAAGTGTTTTTTCAAAAGCAAACATCATCTTCAACCGACGCCAGACCGAAATAATCATGGGTTGAGTCCAGTTTTAGACTGTGTAGTTTCAATAGAGTCAGTGACCTACATGTAATAACAGTACTTAAATCAAAATTTTAATTCCAAAACAACTTTTAAACAATAATACTCGACATTGTTTGGAATGGTATGTTTGATAGACTTGTACCGGCCGACAAAGCACCCAATTATGTGGTGTGGTATGCCGTAAATACTACACAGACGTTCTTAAGAATTAAATTTTAAATTCATCTACATTCAAGGTCGTGCGCTCCATAGAGAGTCATATAGTAAACAAAAATATCATAACCACATCACAGCTTAAGGCCTCTTCTGAAAATTTGAAGGTTCCTACAATGTATTGGTTACCTAAACTACACAAAAAACCAGTGAAATATCGGTTCATCTCGGCCTTTAGTAAGTGTTCTACAACTAATCTTTCGGTGCTTTTAACTAGTTTCTTAACTACTATCAAAGCACTTGTCATAAACTTTTGTAATAAAATAGTGGAATTAACTATTTTTGGAATGTAAAACAAATTGTGGATGTTTTAGATGAATTACGTGCTTTTGATGGTCCTGTTGACAGTTTTGAATTGTCAACGCTTTACACTACACTTCCACACAATCTTATCAAACAAAAGTTTTCCTATTCAATTAAATGGTCGTTTGGTAAATCTGAATGCAAATATATTTGCTGCAACTCATTCAAAGCTTTCTTCTCTAATGAGAAAGGTAAATATGCTAGATATACTTACTGGAGGTTTGATGAGATGATTGAATCTGTTAATATTTTCCTTGATAATATTTATGTACGTTTCGGCAACAAAGTGTATCGACAGATTGTAAGTATTCCTAAAGGCACTAATTGCGCCCCTTTAATAGCAGACTTGTTTTTGTACTGTTATGAATCACAGTTTATGACCAAACTCAGTGAAGACCCGTTTAATTGCTTTTAATTGATAAATTCAACAGCACTTACCGTTATCTTGATAATATTTTGTCGTTAAATAATCAAGATTTTTCTAAATGTACTGCCAAAATTTACCCAAAGGAACCTACTTTGAATAAATCAAATGTAAACGCTAATAACTTTCCTTTCCTAGATTTAGATATTTCAGTTTTACATGGGAAACTCCACACTAAAATTTACGACAAAAGGGACGATTTTTCGTTCCCTATTGTTAATTTTCCTTTTTTCCATCTAATGGTGTTTAAATTTCACAGCTCGTTCGCCCGTGTCTGTTGTGACGTTTTAGATTTTAACGAACGTAATCTATGTATTACTGGTATATTATTAAGTTAGGGATTTCGTTACCACACATTACTTAAAACTTTTACTAAATTCTTCCATAGATATAAAGATTGGGGTTTGAAGTTTGGTTGTACCTGTAGAAATCTTATTTCAAACGGGATATCACATTTTAATTTTTACGGAGATGTTGTTTACCGTTCCCGGAAATTTAGAAACGATCCTGGTAAACTTATCGATCCTTTAAATAAACTTATTCTAAAAGGTTACCAATTCAACACTGTAATTAGATCGTTGAATATTGTTTTCATTTGTATTAATATTGATTTTGTTATCAGTAAATTAAAAGCAAAACATCTACAATCTGTCGATTCATGTATCTTGGCATTGCACAATGTCATGTTTTTCTCTGACTGTCTATGACGTCTTTAAATAAATCCATTAGATGTTGGATGTAAAGTGATTGATAATTTAGTCTTGGATGCATGATTTTTTTTTAGTTGTTATTGGCTCTGAACTAGCTGTCAGTAACTGCGAGTACTTAATGTCTGTTTGTTGTTGGGATGTACAAGTACCCGGCCACGTCCACTTTGTGTTTTTGTTAAATGTATTTCTATTTGTGTCCATCTGATGAGTTAAGCCATTTTCAACTGATTTTTATAATACGTTCTTATGTTGTACTCTTACACCACTGTCCCAGGTTAGGGGGACGGTTGGGATTCCGCTAACATGTTTAACCCCGCCACATTCTGTATGTATATTCCTGTCCCAAGTAAGGAGCCTGTAATTCAGTGGTTGTAGTTTGTTGCTGTGTTACATATTTGTTTTTCGTTCATTTTTTTTGCACATTAATTAGACCGTTAGTTTTCTCGTTTGAATTGTTTCACATTTGTGATTTCGGGGCCTTTTATATCTGACTATGCGGTATGGACTTTGCTCATTGTTGAAAGCCGTACGGTGATCTTTAGCTGTTAATTTCTGTGTTGTTTGGTCTCATTTGGAGTGATGTCTCATTGGCAATCATACCACATCTTCTTTTTACATTTACGTTTGTGTGAAGAGCCCGAATTCACAGACACCACATCCAACATGCCCACTTTCATACTATGATATACAATAAGTAGTTGCAGCACAAGGGATTTTGTCCATCTATTAAATATAAAGTCTAAAAAACATTAAGACTCTCTTTGGAAGATATTTTCATCAGAAGAATAATCAGGGATCAAATTCAATGGCAGTTCAAATTATAAATTGTGTTATTTACACTTCTACTATGGATACCGTTGCATTGCAGCAGCAATATAGAAACATTATGAATTGCTACTATAAATTGTGTCGCTAATGACGACATTTACTGGCACCTTAATATTCTGAAGATATAACACGTAACTACCAACATGTATATATCAAACTACTTCTTCTCTTTACCGTTATCAGTAAAAAAAATTTCTTCCTTTGCTTTAAGAATATTTCAATATGTAAATTTGGGGAGGTACAGACTATTTTTGTTAATATGGACAACAAAAAGGGACACTACATCTACCTGTATTCAAGGCTCTGTACTTGCTGTTCAAGGTAATTGTTTCTCTGTCCCAGAGTCTCCTTTTCTCGTTCCAGTCCTGATACTTGTCCATTAGTTTCCATTCTGAAATTGATTTTATTCATATTTTCTCACAAAATATTTTTCAAACTAAAAAAAGACAATCATACTGTATCTTTTATTTATTGTATTACATGTAATTGTTGATCTTTTACGAGAACGCATATCTTTCATCGGTAGTGCCGTATTACTCACAATTTGCTTTTTTGCTTTTCAACGTTTGTAGAAGGTTTTGACATTTTAATAGTGTTGCCTCTGGAGTAATCGATAGTTGAAAGCGCAACTGGTACAGTTAAAATTGAAACCGTGAAAGTTATTTTATATATCCTAATGGCCCTTGCTTTGATTCCGTTTGAGAATTATGTTATATACCCAGCAGTACGCGAACGAAGTTGAATTCTCACACACATGTGCACCTCATACTTTAAATGCATTTCCTACTCATAAACGCTTTTCTCTGAATAGACATACGAAATTGCTGCCATCTATTAACCTATGAAATATATATATATAGTCAAACCAGTAAACAAATTGTACCTGGCAACTAGATTAGATAAAATGTGGTATTTCTATTTGTTCAATCATTTGTCATCATGATGATATATCATGATTGCATTTTCTGAGACGAACAAATATTTTATACTTTGAATCATGATGTGGTTCCGAAAGAAAACAGATGTTCACAAATTAGATTTTAAATGACTAATCATTTTTTCGTCAAAGGTGAAATGTTAAGGTAGTTTGCAGCATCATCTAGGTTTTGTTTTATATATGCTGTGACATGTTTTACACATCATTCTCATTCCGTTTTTATTAAAAATGTTAGATATGATAAATTAGTCTTAACTAAAAATTACCTGCTGCTATTAAGTTCCTGTGTCAACCGATTAACTTCTTGTTGGTGACTGTCTGTAATACTTGAAAGCCTTTTGATGCAAGATAAAGATATATTTACCCTCTATAACTAGTTTACAGTTAAGGGTAAGATATATAATATATAAATGAATTGACTCAAACAATCTAACGTTCTGTTATGGTGTGTTCCTTTTAAATCAATAATAAAGCAAGTTCTCATATTCTTCTTTTACTCGAGAAAGAACAAAAAAGAAAATTGGCATCTTGTGATAATCTACTATTAAAAATCATAAAATGGAAATACAAATATATAATTCTTTTTTGTTTATCTTTTCAATAAGGCGATATCTGCAACATGAACGTTCATATCCAAAGATATAGAAAGATGAAAGAGTAAATGAAATATGGGATTCATATAAAAATTTCGAAAATATAAGACAATTCTCTTTATCATTCATTATATTGAAGTAATATTTTTTTTTTAAATTTTGATTTTCCATTCTTTTAAACTTATAATATATGGTAAATATTTTCAGTTGGTTTATTTCAAACGTCACTGAAGAGAGATACAAAGCGCGCGTCAGGCGTACCAAATTATTATCTTTGTATAATCAATGAGTATTTATGCGTGTGGGCGTGTGGTTGTTAGCGAGAATGAAACACACAGAGATATTGATATATGATAAATGCAACAATAACTTTAAGATATCCATCACCAATTCAAATAAAACTTTTACCTGTTTTTAAGGTCTTGTACTTCGTTTTCAAGGGTGTTTGTTTTCTGTTCTAAGTCTTCCTTTTGGCTTTTCAGAACTGATATATTTCCATTTGCTTTTGTTCTGTAATCGATTATAATTCGATCTGATTGAAATTGGTATAGAAATTTTCAATTTTATTTTTTAAGGGTATTTTCTTTAGTAGACGGGTTGAATCCCATTGTGCTGATATGTGATTATTTGTCTGACCCTTTCATAAATCATAAAACGTTGCAGACACCTTAATCAAAGAATTCTTTTAAATGCATGGTTTTGTAAACAACACACTCTTTTAGGTCAGGACACTATAGGAATACTCGAAATATGTGAATCACAAATGAATATGTACAGTTGAGTTATGAATATCAAATTGTAGTATTTCCGTTGATGTTAACATATCATAACTCAATAAATTAAAATAAATATTATCCACATCTTTGTCAAATTGATAAAGATGTTGTCACCTTGATTTTTCTAACTCACCTATATTTATGTTTTGCAAAATGTCATGTTTAAATTTACGTGAAGTAAAAAATAGAGAATGTTTCGATATCCACAAGTTGTATTTGCGCGAAAAAGTGTGATTTGTTTTTGTTTGCACTGTGCTGTGTTAATATTCAGATAGGTTGACACGACTTTCAATAGATCTAGGTTTTTGGACACTATTTGTTTGTCGTGAACGTTCACAAGTCTCATTAACTTCCTTGATACTATTTCTTAATACTATCGTAAGATACTAAACAATACCTAATGCTACCGAGGTCTTGGTTCAGCTGACGAACTTCTTGCTGGTGTTCATCTGTTTTACTTGAAAGCCTGATAACACATAGTGGACGGTAAATTTAGGATAAAATGATTTAACACATGACATGCATGGGGTAATAAAGATATACAGATAAATACTAACACATTTCATTGTAGCTAATATAAAAGATTGGACTTTGAAAATCTCAATTTTTGGTCGTTGCGTTTGTCATAAAGATTTTAAATACAGCAATGAACTGCACAATAGATGGAAACATGTTGCACATGCGTAGATATTGGTACATTGATGGTTTCAATTATATAATAATTTCGAAAATAAATGAAATTTCCATGCATAATTTTATTATTAAAGGACTTATATTTCAGAAAATCAAATAATATGGTTACCTGTTATTGAGGATCTGTACTTGCTCCTCAAGTTTTCTAGCTTTCTGTTCCAAAGCCTCCTTTACTTTTTTCAGTTCGGATGTGTGGGCATTATCACTTAGTCTGTAAATAATTATAGTGTGATTTCGTATTAGCCTAAAGATGTTTGATTTCGACATGTATGTTTAATACGATAGTGTGGAGAACTTACTTGCATTGCTATGTGTTATCTACGGTGCGAAAAGAGATGTTATCCCCATAAACAAATTTTTTTAACCGGATATATACATTTTTTTTAATATCGTTGCGTTTAGATATATATATTATATATATATATACAGTCACAGAAATAATTATATAAAAGTGCGTCTAAACAAGTGACAACTCTACGACAGATTCCTCCATTGGATCACCAGTGAAGGTGGTACACGACTGAAAACACATTTTATATTCATAACTTCTCTTAATATCAGCACAACAATGTTAAACCTGCAAATTTGCGGAAGCTAATTTTCTTTCTCCTCTCGCCGGGATTCGAACTCATGATATTGGGATATTGCGACAACACCGCCTGCACTGTGTCAATCGCTCTATATCACTCGGCCACCTAGACTGAACTAATAATTCAGCTTCCAGTGGCCTAGTGTTACCTTTCCTCGTCAGTAGAATCTATTGTTGTAACACAGTATATGATATATTAGGCATGGAGATGGAATTTATTGCAGATTAGCTTAATATCTATCGTAAAGGATCGTTAGACACAGTCACGGAAATAACAACTCTACGACAGATCCATCCATTGGATCACCAGTGAAGGTGAAAAGTTAAATCACAAAAATACTGAACTCCGAGGAAAATTCAAAACGGAAAGTCCCTAATCAAATGGCAAAATCAAAAGCACAAACACATCAAACGAATGGACAACAACTGTCATATTCCTGACTTGGTACAGGCATTTTCTAATGTATGATATACGACTGATAACACATTTTATGTTCATAACTACTCTAAATATCAGCACGACAGTGTTGTCTCGATATCCCAATAACATGAGTTCGAATCACGGCGAGGGAAGAACAAACTTTGCTTCTGCAAATTTGCAGATTTTACATTGTTGTGATGATATTTAGAGCAGTTATGAATATAAAATGTGTTTTCAGCCAATGGATGGATCTGTCGTAGAGTTGTCACTTGTTTAGACGTACTTATCAAAATGATTATTTCTGTGACTGTATCTTGCGATCCTTTACGATAGATATTTAGCTGGACACAGCGCAGACGGTGTTGTCTCGATGTCCCAATAGCATGAGTTCGACTCCCAGCGAGAGAAGAACCAAAAATTTGCTCCAAAAATTTGCAGATTTAACATTGTTGTGCTGATATCTAGAGTAATTATAAATATATACGTTCGTACATAGTGTTCAGTCTGTCAGGCCCTAAAGTTCTTATTTTTTTATCCTAAAGGCTTTTTTAGTTCTTCGGTAAATTATAAAAAATAAAAATTTCATGCATATAAGTCAATTTTTTTTTCATTTTAAGCTTTCGATTCTTGAATCCTTAAAAATGTTATTCCTTCATCATGTTCATGTAATGTTTATTGGAGTCAACTTGTTCAATTGCTGCTGCATCATTCTCATAACCAAATGTAAACAACTTATATATTTGGTCACTGTTTCAATGTGTAGTGTGTATTAAACGTTTTCATTTGTACAAATAAGTGTTACGGTAAAACCTATACAATACCTTGTGCTACTTAAATCTTGTTTCAGCAGACTAATTGCTTTTTGATGTCCTTCTGTAATGTTTGAATGCCTGAAAACACATTGTGAAAATGTTCACTTAAATGATTTTAAGTCATATTATGGGAATAATTCAAAGTTTGGTGACAATGGTGAACGCATCTTTCCCATCAAACTTGACATTAAGGATATTACAGATACAGTTAGGTCTGCCTCATATCTTGGCTTACATCTAGAAATTGAATATGAGGGTCGGTTGAGAACAAATCTTTACGAGAAAAGAGATGTCTTCAGTTTTTCAAATGTGAACTTTCCAGTTCTATGTAGCAACATTCCAGCAGTCTCTGCATATGGAGTATATATCTCCCTGTTGATACGATATTCTAGTGTTTGTATTTCCTATCATTGAACCAAGAGTTCCAATAAGTGATGTTTAAGACATCCTTTGGAAAATTTTACTGACGTCATCACCCGTTGGATGGCCGTTATGGAATATGTTCCAGTAGTCGTAACATCATTCCCGTCCTATTTTCCTCGAATTTTACCTACCGAATTAGACTTATCACCATGTTTGTTCTCGCATGAGCAACACGACGGATGCCAAATGTGAAGCAAGACCTGTTCACCCTTTCGGAGAATCTGAGATTCCCCCTCCAAGGATTTGGTCGGGTTGCTCAGTCTTTAGTTTTCCAAGATGTGTGTTGTGTACTTCTTGTGGTTTTTCGTTCTTTTGCCACGGCTTTATCAGTTTATTTTCTACTTATGAGTTTGAATGTCACTTTGATATCTTTCGCCTCTCTTTTAAAGCATCCATAGAAAGCACAATATGGAAAACTTTAGACAGAATTTGAATATGAAATATGAGCAATATGAAAATAGGAAGTTGTGGTATGATTGCCAATGAGACAACTCTCAACAAGAGACCAAATGACACAGAAATTAACTTACTATAGGTTACCCACCGTAAGGCCTTTAACAAAGAACAATGCCCATACCGCAGTCAGCTGTCAAGAGTATATGAGAGAGAGAGAGAAATTATGTAGGAAAAGAAGGTTAGCAGAGGGGAAAGAAAACCTTTGATATAATAAAAGATATCTGTACGATGAATTTGTTTTGAATCATTAAATATAGAGTGTACCTTTTATTTAGATCTTGTACGTCCTCTTCCAACTTTCGTGTTTTCTGTTCCAGTGCTTCCTTTTGTTTCTTCAGTTCTGATATTTGAGCACTATCTTGTATTCTGTAATCGATTATGATATGATTCCATATAAAGATATTGTTTGAAATTGATATAAAACACAAAATATAGATTTAATGTTTTCCAATGTTAATCCTTCAAGGGTTTAATCGTTATGTTTTGGTAGAGGGGTAATTAATACCTTACCTTTCTTGGAATTAGTTTGGTGTTATATACGCGGAACTTCAAAATGTAGGTTATTTCTATATAATTATGAGGCTGACTTCATACAGGAACTTCTTAGGAAGAAAGATAAGAAGTTAGCAATATCCTTTAACTTTACTTTCCGCTATATAGATGATGTTCTCTCACTCAATAATTCAAAATTTGGTGACTATGTTGAACGCATCTATCCTATCGAACTAGAGATAAAGGATACACCAGATACAGTTAAGTCAGCCTCATATCTTGACTTACATCTAGATATTGACAATGAGGGTCGGTTGAAAACAAAACTTTACGACAAAAGAGATGATTTCAGTTTCCCAATTGTGAACTTTCCATTTCTATGTAGCAACATTCCAGCAGCGCCTACATACGGAGTATATATCTCCCAATTGATAAGATATTCCTGGCTTGTATTTCCTATCATGATTTCCTTGATAGTGGGTTTGCTTCTCACAAGGAAGCTATTAAACCAAGAGTTCCAAATGGTGAAGTTGAAATCATCCCTTCGTAAATTTTACGGACGCCATCACGAGTTGGTTGACCGTTATGGAATAACCGTTTCACAGATAATATCGGATATGTTCCTTATGTCGTAATTACAATCCACTTCCTTTTTCACCACGAATGTGACCTACCGAATTAGACTATTTACCTGATTTGTAATAACATGAGCAACACGACAGGTGACACATGTGGAGCAGGATCTGCTTACCCTTCCGGAGCACTTGAGATCACCCACAGTTTTTGGTGGGGTTCGTGTTGCTTAGTCTTTAGTTTTCTATGTTGTGTCTTGTGTACTATTATTTGTCTGTTTGTCTTTTTATTTTTTAGCCATGGCGTTGTCAGTTTATTTTTGATCTATGAGTCTGACTGTCCCTCTGGTATCTTTCGCCCCTCTTTTAGAATGAAGGTTGAAACATTTACAAAAGTTGACTTCCCCGTTCTTAATAAAGTACAATTTGCCTTTATTCCTGAATTTGAATATTTTCTTATTACATAAACATGATAAAGCAATTATATATTTAGTCAACAATATAACTAGTGTACAAATTTTACTATAACACATTGTTTAAATAAAACTAATGTAACTTGCATTTGTCCAAAAGCTGACAGTACCTCAATCGTTAGTCATTTTCAAATCCAATTTCATGCTTATAATTGCGTTTATTTCACTTATTTCTTTTGCAGTACGTCGAAGGTTTAAAAAAATGGTTAAAATCACTTCCTTTATAATTTAAGGTACATGTAAAAACACGTCAACTGACTTGTCTGAGAGGTAATTAAAGAATTAAAACAGTCATCAATTGGTTTATTACAATATTGTATAATCATTGCATCAAATAAATGAAGCCATTATAAGAACTTGCTGTCGCTATTCTTGACTTATTAGCAACCGTTTAATACAATGAACAAGTGAAGATGTTCCATAGACACTGAATACTTTGGTAGTAGTTAAATGATTTCTTTCAAAACATACATATGACAAAATGAACAATTGAAAAATGACTCTAAAAACAAACATAGTATTATAGATTAAGCAATATGTAAAGTTTAAATCCCAATGGGAAAAAACTAAGTTAATACATTTTGTTAACTGAAATTCAATATAAATAAACCAAAAGCATATATGAAACAGAGAAATTTTTCAGAATGATAAGCCGATACAGATATAATTACTTTTGATTATTTGAAAATGTACTTGATCACAACTACAGATTAAGATTATCCTATATCTGGTACATGCCTGTTTGTGCCGTGGGTATAGAGTGCCGCTTTCATATTTCAGTAAATTTCAGCGTTATTTAGATATTGTTATGGTGTGATCAAGTCCTTTTGATTTCCCTCTATAAGCATAATATATGAAATGATAAAACTATACAAAACCTAGTGCTACTAAATTCTTGGTTCAGCCGACGAATTTCCTGTTGATGTCCATCTGTATTATTTGAAAGCCTGGTAAAATATTTTTATAGATAAAAGTTAAATTGTAAGTTTGTGATTAAACAAATCTTAATAAACACACATTTATAAAGAATCACTTTGATTTCTTGTCATTAAAGGGTCAAAATGAATCGATTTAAGATTGTTATTACAATTTTTGATGATACAACATGTATGCGACAATTGATTTTTTAAGGGAGGTGATGATTTTGTAATATGATTAATAATAAAAGGGACCATTAATGGTAATATAAAAATAGCAAATTATTCTTGGACAAGGTACCTTTTATTTAGGTCTTGCACCTGCTCTTCAAGCTTTCTTGTTTTTTGTTCTCTGAACTCATTTTGTTTTTCTTTTAGTTCTGACATTTGTGCATTTTCTTTTGACCTGTAAAAGATTATGATTTGATTTCAGATTCAAATAATGTTTAATTAATAATAAGGCACAATAATGTGCAACTAATACTAATTTGCAGTTCTTGTATTTATCGTCCTTGTAATAGGTCATTATCTATCAGTAGACTAATTTAAAAGATTTTCCATACTAGTCCCATAGCCAACATGAACTCTTCGCCACTCTTTAAATGAAAAAAAAAGATCCGTTTATGAAACCAGTTTGTTGAATTGTTTGTATTATTAACACTGCACTTTATGTGTTGCATAATCCTAAATATGTGATCCCCAATAATTTAAGTGAATGTCGCACGGATATGTTCAATTTGCCTTTATCTCTGAATATGAATATGATATTTTCCTCTTTATCATGTTTATATTTCAAAATGAAAGTTCAACAATTAATCTATTATAATAGCGGTCCATGGTCAATAAAGTTAACAAAGTGTTGGAAATTGCATATGTTTGACAACTGACATCGTCTTAATGATAATTTATCAAAAACAAAAACAAAAATATGTTTACATATACGATGGGGTCTTCAAAAGTAAAGAACATTCCGGAAACACACATGATATATAAGGTTCCTTATATATCTCTTATAAAAACAAAATATAGTGTTAACTGTTCTCTATAAAATATCTTTCAATCTGTATAAAATATTTTATATATTATAAATACGATAACTCGTAAAATTTATGCGATATCTTATATATTTTATGAGCTATTAGATTTATTTTATTTTATCGATTTATAAATGAATTTTGCCTTTTTCCCATAATATTCTTTCTTTATAAAATAATTTATACGTTATTTATATATAAAGACATGAAAGATTGCAGATATTTACATTCAATTATATATCTTTTAAAGTTTTCATCATTAGATATTTCATAAGTTTTAAGTTTATAAGATATTTAGTATACTTTATGAGACATGTTTTATGATTAATATGATATCAGATAATATATTTTCAATTTTATATCTATAAAGATATCTTATAAAGTTTTTAAGATCCATTATATACTTTAAATAATAATTTATATTAGACTGTAATTTTCTTTAAATATTTCATACGATATCTTATATAATCTATAGGATGTCTTGTATAAGATATAAGATAATTGTACTATTGTTTGACTGTTGGTCTTTTTCTTGTTTAGCCATGGGGTTGTCAGTTTATTTTCGACTTATGAGTTTAAATGTCCCTTTGGTATTGTTCGCCTCTCTTTTTAAAATTATCTTTCAGATATTTTATATGATCTATAGATATCTTTTTCCTTTCTTAGATATCTAAGATGTCTTATACAATTAATAAAAAATATATATAATTTAACTTATGATATATGGGATATATTTTATCAGATATATATATATAGGATAGAACGTTGTTTTCAATTTAGACTTGTTTATATTTTTTCGTTTGGGCTTGTATTATATTTGCCTTCGGGTTTATATGATCCGTTCATCCTATTTTGACTCTTTCAAAATTCAAGAGTCTATCCTAAATTGAGGTAAATTATATGGCCTTCCAAATACCTTTTCGATTCCTAACATCACTGAAGAGACATTAATTGTCGAAATCCGGATATGGTGTACAAAAACCTTTGCACCTTTTGTTTGCGGTATACCATCTTTTCCGCAAGTTTATTGTTTTCTGTTTAGTACTAAATTTATAATTGAGATCCATTTATTACATCGGTGATCCGTTTATTTGGCAATCGCCAATGGCAGTCAGCAGGGTTTAAGGACATCAGTTGTTTGACCTGCTTGTCAAATGCGTTTTGTTAAAATATACTTTTTCACTCATTTGATCTTTTGGAAAATGTTGTTTGTGCTGTATTTAGACCACTCTACCAAGAAATTTGTTTTGCATGCACACGTATAAAAATTGCGGTTTTTATCCAACGCAATCATAGGATAGAACGTTGTTTTCAATTTAGACTTGTATATATATATATATATATATATATATATATATAAATGTGAGTTTGACATCATATAAACTATAGATTTTAAAAAATAAAAAATATCTTAAATTTCTTATAAATATAAATATTGTGTGCAATAGAAAGCTTTAAGACAAAACAATACCTTTTGCTACTAAATTAATTTTTCAGCTGACGAATTTCCTGTTGATGTTCAACTGTCTTTGTAGAAAGCCTGATAACATATGTGAAGATATAGTTTCAAAAAATTACATTCGTTAAGCATATGGTTTATTTAACCTGTAAACTTATGCTTATTTGATTGTTGATAAAGCCAATCATAAAAGATTACAGACTTGTTGTTATACACGCAAGAGGTGCGTTTCATCTACATAAGAAATATTAGTGGAATTTAAATAAAAACAGTTGCAATGCAAAATGAAATACGCAGTGTAAGAGATTTGAAAACAAAACGTTCAAAATAGTTGTAGACTATTAATGCATGTAAAAAAACAATTTGAAAGTGTTTCAAATAATTCGACAACATTTTATAGACTTACAGCATTATCATTGATATTTCATAACAGTATAGGAGTGCCGACTATTGAGCTGGTGATAATCTTGGGATCGAACTATTCTCCACCAATGGCATCGAACCAGTTGTTGTGAACACTCATTAAAGATACCAGGATTACAATTTAAAACGCAAGAATCGCGTGTCGTCTACATAAGACTCATCTCATCATTTGTGTATACAAAAATGAAAACATACGAATGAGTATGTGTGTTTGCTGAATCGAAGAGAGATATAAGATAACGTATGATAAGAGATACAAAAGTGATGTATTACAAAATCAAATTATATATACCTCTTGTTCAGGTCTTCTACTTGCTTTTCGAGATTTCTTATTGTCTGGGTCAGACCTTCCTTTTGTTGATTCAGCTCATATATATGTAAGTTGTCTTTTGATCTGTAATCGATTATGATTAGATTTCCTATTAAAATGGTGTTTTAATAATAGCTTCTTTGTTTTCATATGGATATTTTATGTGCACGGATATTTTTATCAGTAGATGAGGCAATGTTAATTTGTATTTGATGATATATCATTCATGACCCTATCATCACAATAAGAAAGTAATGCATGACTCGTTCAAAGACTCGTTTACTTAAAATGATAACCTTAAATATACTACTGAAATAGTTAGGGGAACATCTGAATTATGCAATATAAATATATGTTAATCAATGCCTGTTATTCCTTTCCGACGAATATCCAAGTGCTCCTTTATTCAGGCAAAAGTTGTGTGCAAAGCAAACATTACTCGTAAATGAATTCAAAACACCGGCAAACGATACGTTAGTGTCTGACCGATCCGAAAACCACTATTCGAATTGATATCAGAGGTTCTAGATGGAGTTTACACAATGGTGTAAATGTGACCATAAATAAAAAAATACATAAAAGTAGTCATAAAGATAAAGAAAATAAAAGCGTGGTGCTACATATAAAGAGTAGAGAAATTAAAGTAAAAATTTAAAGAATTAAGAAATAATGATATCCCCCCCTTTTATCAAATAAGGTCTTGTTTATTCCTGCATTTTTGTATCTAAGGATTAGATATGATGTGCTAAGCTGTATTTTTTTTTCTCTTTGATTTACTTGGTCGTTTTAATGTTCAGTGTGTATATTAAGTTAGTTTGTATGTTGTAGACCGTTTGGTTGATGTGACGCTGTGTTTAACTCCATGTTACACTTAAATTTAAACAATACCTTATGTTACTAAGTTCTTGTTTCAGCTGATGAACTTCTTGTTGTTGTGTATTGGAAGTACTTGACAGCCTGATAATAAATTATTTATGATTAATTTTTGAATAAGAGATAAGTCTGCTTACAGTCTGCAAACGCAATGCAGATAACGTAAAAAGTTATACATAATTTTGACTCTGAATGTCAAATCATCCACGTAAAAAAAGTCGTAAAGCGAAATTCTCCTTATAATATTGCCCGTGCCTATCGTATCTGTCTAATTATATTATTTCGGGGTCACATGCACATGCCAACTTCCTGTGTCGATGGTTAATGAGATCCTGTTGGCAGCTAATGTTGCTTTGATAGTTATTACTTGATTTATTTCACTTGAATGGGCGGGGTTTAACCGGTTCGCCTATCGTAGACCAGTCCATCTATAGACAGGTGTTTTGGGATAAACTCATCAATGATGTGTCCAGTTATGGTCACTGATCCGGTTAAAATATGTAAACACTATATGTGTATTCCAATAGTAAATAGTGAGACACGGTCGTGGTTTTCTTTTAAAACGGAGTTTAAAATCACGGTAAAAATGTCACATTTTGGAAATGAAAGTATAACTGTGACGATGGCAGTTGCAAAATATGCTTATGTCGTTATTTTATAGCGTTTTAATATACTTTTTTCTCCTTTTTATCCGAATGCATTTGCATTTTTTTGTGAGCGGGGGGAGAGGCACGGGGATAAGTTGCAAATGGTATTTCAACCTTATTTATTTCATTTATTTTATATAGATGTATAGATTTTAAACTATTTTATTTTAATCATTTTTTTTAATTTTATTGCAAAACAAACAAAAACTAATTTTGGTCATAGCAATATCAAATACTCAGTTCTTTTTTACATGTGTTTATCTTACCTCCTATACATTTCTGGCATAGGATTGGTTAAAAGCAACCGCGTGGAGACCGTGTATATTCCATATTAGGTTAGTAGGCGGGGCTTATTTCAATACACGGTAGTAGTGGTGTTACGTACGTCCCTTTATAAAAACAACACGGTTTTGAGGAAAATTCTTAAAGGTTTCAACAGACGAAGAAATTGATGATGAACGATTGAAATAAATTCAAAAAATACATTTAAAGCTAACAAATTGTTATTGTTGGCATTTGTTTTTGTATAAACCAATGGAAGTACGTTCTTAATACTAATGGTATTGGAAGACTTGATCACTTTGATAGTCCACTAGTCTAAATACCACATGTTAAGATAGTCGGTAAGATAAATTCGTTACATAGTGTGCTAGTGACCTAATACGATATATATGGGGTCAGTAAATTCCATATTGGGATTCGAGCTTCGCTCTCACTGCCCCCATATATATCGTATTAGGTCTATCACACTAATAATATCCGTTTCGTGACACTGATAAGTGATTAGAAATCAGTAATAATAATTATAACGGAAATCATCCGTATCATACACATCTTCAAATAGACTGGTCTTATGCAAATTAAAACGTAAGTTCCACCCGATCAGTTGAAAATAAATTGATTATATTTTGCTTACAGATGCAAAACACCTGTATTTTTTCAGCTAAATATAAATAAACTCATCATAGATACCAGATACCAGGATTGAAATTGTTTACGCCAGACGCCGTCTACAACAGACTCATCAGTGACGCTCAAATCAAAACAAGAAAGTTAAAAAGGCCAAATAAAGTACGAAGTTGGAGTAAATATGTGTGATATTGCAAAACAAAAAAAGCGTTATGTCATATATATTCCTTTATTTTTCAACTAATAGTTGGGTTGTTTTTCAGACAAATGGTTTGTGAGCAAATTTCTTAAGAATAGTACATATTTACATAGTTCTCAATTCTCTTATGTTCTGTTGAAGAGTAACATTTTCTTCCGTTAATTTAACTATCCTTCGTTTGTCCTCTTCTGTATCTTCCTGGCGTGATAATCTAGAAAAAAGTAACATATTTCATTAAAGTTTACTGTACACTTACCTTATTTTATGACTTTAGAAACACAGACAAATTTAATAATCACAACAAATATATTAACACGGTGTCAAATAATGAAGATACCCGTCAACGGTTTCCAGGCCAACAAAAATAATACAAATCTATTCAACTTTTATTTGTAAAATAAATTAAAATGTCTCTTCTACTCGGTTTTAGTTAATAGTTTGTTTACCAGCAATCATACATGCTTTCCCTCATGTTAAATCATGTGAATTTTAATATCTTGGAAATAAGACAGAGAACACTATAACAAAAAATGCTAGACATAAGACTATCATATATTTGCGTAACTGTAACAGGCAATTTTAAATCGCGACATTACGATATTTAAGAACGCATTAAACTGTATTTAAACCAAGGTGTCAGTTCCGATAATTTTAATTGAACAAATTCCTAGAAGTAACCTGTCCAAAATATTTTGAAACTATCATTTTGCCTTAATATTGCTAATTAAATATATTAGATCGTGGTAGCACCCTCTGATGTATATACATTTGTACATATAAATAATTCATGTCTATATCACCGTATATCAAAATTCAAAACCTTCTATTCTCTTTCTATTTTGATTCTAACCGTCATATAATCATTTTAAGTGTGATGGGATGAAGATATGTGTATACATTTTTTTTTTACTGAGACATATGTATAACTCTGTATCAATTGCAAGCGATGTATATCTATCCCAATACCTAGCTTTCATTAATCCCAGCTTTAAAAAAAAACATCGTCTACATCTAATTGGTAAAAAGAGGGAAAATGCTGGGCAAACCCGTAGGAATAATATAATCTCATTTTGTTCTATCAAGAATACTAGCCAACAGATGTGCATTTATTTTAAAGAAAGGAAATGGAAAATAAAGAAGAGCTTACCTCAGCTCGAACTTCGCACTTATTGCGTGTACAATTTCCTCTACGAAGCTTTCAGAACCGAATTTTGGCACGTTTGAAAGATCAATATCTTTAAGCATGTCTTCGTCAAAATCATCAATATCCTTTCTCAGATTGTTATATGAAATATAAAATGTAACAGCATGATCCTCTGCTAGCATTTTCTCAATGCTATTTAGAAGGTTGCGATACTCCGACAGGACATTTTCTCGTCGTTTCAATTCCCTTTTTATATCCAAGTCCTGTAGTTTCTTAAAATCTTCATACTCTGTCGTTTTTATGTCCTTTAGGTCTTCTATAGCTTGCTGGATTGATCTTAATGTTGAATCTATATCCTTACTAACTGCCTGCAAATCGACTTTGATTTGGGGCAATTTCTCAGATTTAATGTTGTCAAGTACTTCGGATAATTTTCCTATTCTCTCTTTGATGAGAGAAACATTCCCGCCAGCAGATTCTCGTAATTTTTCAACAATTTTTTCGATACGAGAAGAGCTATGGCCATTATGGTCTCCCGTAACACACTCAATACAAATTAACAATTCGCATTGATTA